TCCGTCGCTCCCGGGTTCGAGTCCCGCCCTGACCACTACCTGGATTTGTTTCACGGTAGCTTCGAGTTCAAATCCTCGGCCATGCTTGTAAACAGCCAACTGTTTTGCCTTCGGCCAGTTGGGATTCTTAATAATGTTATTTTCAATTTGGATTATTTGTTTCAGTTGTTTGGTGGACATTTTTTTAACCGCCTCCCGGTTAGCTCAATTGGTTAGAGCGCCGGATTGTGTTGTGCGGGAGGTCGAGGGTTCGAGCCCCGGCCGGACCGATACTCATGGTCTTAAAATAAGTGAGGAGAATTTGCTACCTTTCTATAATCAAGAAATGGATAGATATTCTAGTCTTCTCGGATAAGGACGAATAAACCGTAGGCCCCGTCTCCTGCAGGGTTAGGGGTAGGAGACGTTAATTTCCCACGCACGAGATTACTGTGTTGTGGATGTCCTCCCCTGGGGTGGGATGGGTGGGAATTGGCCCTGAAAAGCCCCCATGGGGAGTGGTCAACTAACGTATGTATGATACAATGAATATATGAAGTTCATATATTTTGAACTGCGGTATTAGATACGTATGATGCACGATCCTCGCAGTGGAGAGCGCTATTTATGCAATAGCGAAAAGCAGACCTGAAAAAAAAGAAAAAGAAAAATCAGGCCTGTACGGGATTCGAACCACTGACCTCTGCGATACTAGTGCAGCGCTCTACCAACTGAGCTGACAAGCCAACTGAGAGCAGGCCGTTAAGTTGATTCTTAATAAGGGCCTGATTTTTTTCAGGTCTGATTTTCGCTCTTGCATAAATAGCGCTCTCCACTGCGAGGATCGTGCATCATACGTATCTAATACCGCAGTTCAAAATATATGAACTTCATATATTCATTGTATCATACATACGTTAGTTGACCACTCCCCATGGGGGCTTTTCAGGGCCAATTCCCACCCATCCCACCCCAGGGGAGGACATCCACAACACAGTAATCTCGTGCGTGGGAAATTAACGTCACCTACCCCTAACCCTGAAGGAGACGGGGCCTACGGTTTATTTATGTGACTTTGGTCACGTGACTGAGATGTTTTGATTTAGCCCTCATCTCAAATTCAATTTTTAAAATTTTGTTTTATGTTGTCAATATCGGAATAATGAACAGACGCCGTAATTGAACTCTGATTCTGTTTTCTCCGTGATTCAGAGAGTGTTTATCACCAACTCATTCATGTTGCTATATATAAACTACCTTTGCTAGTAGGTTGTTTTTAGGCTGCACTTGAGGAAACAGAACGTATCAGCCAATTTTGCTGCCGCCATGATTTATAATGTATTTCCTGTGCATTTGAACAGTTCAAGTACAGGATAGTTGGGCTTCCTATATGTCAGGACTGTATGGTTCCCTTAGAGGCTTAATTTTTATAAGCATCATTTGAAAAGGCTTCGCTCTTTCTCCCTCGTTACTTTCTATCTTGCCTATGAACGGTGAGGGAGAAGTTTGTTTCCCATTCAGTCGAAAAAGCTTTGCCACAGAAGTAGAATCAAATATTACAATCTTGGGATAAATGTTTCCTTCGTATTAGATGCTTAAGCTTGAATGACTTAAATGTGGACTTGCTTCATATCGAATTTCTTTAAGCGTAACATGACTCTCCCCAATACTCCACGGCCACATGACAGTCACGCTCCAGTGGAATAAAGATAAGAAATTGCACATGATAATAATATGGATTGGGCAACGACTGCATCAGAATCTTCAGGGAGTAACCTCTCTTCGAGCAATAGATTGGAACAGCCGTCCTCCTTGTGTTTTGGATTCACAGGCAACAGGTTAGGACAGACGTTATTTGGTGACTTTTGTTGTAAAGGGAGTTTGTTAGAGTTCGGTTGAAACCCTATCCTAATGTCCTTTGGTATTCTCACAATAAATTACAAGCATCAAAATATCGAAGCCAAATGATCATTCGTTCATCTTAAAGTAGAACATTTATAGTCGTTGAATTCGTGTGATGTCTGATGTAATCATGGTCCAAGGTTCAAACGCTTTGGTTAAAGAAGTCTAATATGTGTACATGGAGGGAAATTCCGAGTCATAATACAAGTGAATGTCAGTTTCACTTTCCATTTTTATAGATCGTATTTGAGCCATGTCGGTATAAATTACTGTTTGGGTTGTTGAGATGATTTGTAACTCATTAAGTCTCGCCTTCATTGTTCCCGCGTCATGGAAATTAAGAAGTATGCGCCTCTGCATAATATTTTGATGAGATAAACACTATGTCGTTTGTGCGTTGGTCATAATTTCTGATTATACCTCGGATAAACACATAAGAAGAAACAGGGAGCTTAGTGAGTAATTTTAGCGATATTTAAGATTAAATAATTTCTGATTTTCATAACAAAACTAGGATAGAATTTGAACGCGACAAGTACGTGTTTTGATTGTTTTGAAACAAACGGCCTGAACACGTCACGATTAAAATTAGTTTGCATGTTGCGGTTACGTTTTGTCTCAACTAAGCAGATTATGCGGGCATTTGTGCATGGCTAACCTCGTTACGCAGCGGGGTGATGACCCCGATAATTCTTGAATTACGTTTGATCGGAAAACTCTTTGATCGATTTTTTTACGAAGGAAATTATGGTAGAACCACACAAGCTAGCACTGAATGTTCGGCCATGTAACAAACTGACATCTGAGTACTAGGACGTGAAATACATGATCAGGCATTACACGCGTACTGTTTCTACTGAGTGATATTCAAGCATTGTAATCAAAGATAGGACAGGACTTTACGCATTCGCCACTTGAAACGTTCAGTTTCAGTGACGTTTCTTTGATAAGACTTCGAACATCGGACGCACATTCCAAATTCAGTAAGGCGGACAGGGTTTAGTGAGACTGATAAAACTGTTTACGTCGTGGCGTAAAGCTGTTGCAATGTTGTACTAAAAAAGTATTATTCGCATCGCTGAGGACTTCGGTATGTCTGAGGGTCAAAGACAGAAACATTATAAAATTTGATGTTTCTTAGGAACTTATCTGCTTTTAAAGCGATTTTTGAAACTAGCCATATACCGCCAGAAGTAATAAATGTTTTTTATTAAATTTTTTTTTCCTGAAGGTCAAATGCCGATGAAATCTGGCAGGAAGTTGCCAAGCGATATAAGGAAATAATCGAAAAGGATATCAGATTGCGAAATTCCAGTCAAACTATGGCATCATTCACATTGCAAACAGAACAACAAACAAACTCGACAATAAATCCATCAGCCCACTGTCCTAAAGCACCTGCTAAACCAGTGGATTATGAAGAAGAGTTTCATCACTCTGTTCTCATGAAACAAAACGAGAAAAAAGATACCGGAACGTTTCCCAAAATTGTCAAAGTATTTAGCTTAAAACCCTCATTACCTATGCAAATTTTCCGAGATCATGTGACCATAGTCATCTCACCAAGAGAGGCAACTGCCCAAACCCTTGTTGGAAAGTCAGGGGAGAATGAGCCATGCAAAAGAACTGAGAAGGAAAAAAAAGTTAAAGGAGGCGAAATTCCCTCTAGTCATGACAAGAAAAGTTTACCAGATTTTCAATGTACCGGCATTAGCAGACGAAACAGCTCACGTGGTACTAGTTTCTTAATGAATCAGCATATTTGTGGTACAGAAGACATTGATACGATGCAACTCGGAGAGAAGGAAGTCCAAAGTGCTTGCTTGTCAGGAAGAACCTTCGCGGAAGAGTGGTTCCAAATACCGCATGACTTTACGTCTGAACAAAAGCTTTTTTCGAAGAGTAAAGGAGTTTATGAGCCGGAAGTAATGGTCAATGGGAGAAAACAAAATGTCTCGGAGCGAGAACTTAGTGATGTTGAAGCTCACAAGAAAAAGAAAAGGAGGAAACGCAAGGCCATTTTTCAGCAGACAAAAACGACGAGGAGCAAAAAAAGGTGCTTCGTTGATGATATAAAAAATCTCGATCAAACTTTGATTCGTGAAGAACTCATAAGCGATACTGTGAACCAAACATATTCTCATTTTCAATACTATGGCTCATTCAGGGATAAAGAGACGAAAATGAACGAGACCACTATTGAAACAAAAGAAAGGAGTAATGCTTCTGAGAAAGATACTCAGGAATCCTTTCAGGACTTTCATGATTATTCTCTGGCAGTTTGTAACGAAGAAACCGTCCCGGGGGAGACGGAGGTGATTTCCAAGGAGTCGGCAGGAAGTAACAAGGGCAGTGGTTCTTTCCCGTTAGCTACGATTTCTTCCTTTCCTGGTACTGACATTCATCAAAACAAAATTCTTCGTTTAAAAGAAAAACTTGCAAAGCAGGAACAAGAACTTCAGAATCTCAAGCGTAAAAAAGATTCTGAAGTTGTGTTAACAGAATGGGCTGAGAAAGAAAGGTTTGAGTCAAAAGATCTGTGTCTTAGCAAAGACACAGAGATCTGGGCTGATGGAAACGATATCGAAGAGGCTGTTTACCTGAGCGAAATCGATGATCTAAAGCACACATTTCAGAAGGTGATCAAATCATTCAGTAGAACCTTAGATGGCAAATTATATTCCACAAGAATAGTCCCATACTATGCTCACCTCCCAACAGGCGGCGATTACAAACGTTTTTCTAATGACATCATTAACCAATTGGTACCCAAGGATTTTGCTAGTCAGGAAGAGTTCTTATTTCAGCTAGGTTTGCTGAGAATCTTTTAACAATTAAAGGGAATTCGAATTTGCTGCTGAAAATCGTAGTCATCGCTATAGTACTTGGCGATATTTAGCGACTCTTCTTTTTATTGCTTGAGTAATGTGCTCAAAAATTAAGCGTCGCTGAGTTTATACCACGTATTTTCGCCTGAATTAACGTTGCAAAAACGGAACATTTCGGCTGTTGAAATCCCTGCTGATTGCAAGGATTCTTACGGCATATTTAATTAGCATTGTGGATTTGTCGTCCAAGTCCACGGTTTGGTAATTTTGGTAAGAGAAGATCATGAGAAATAAAATTTAGAAAACAACAAGAAATAAGAGATCTTATTGGTAAAAGTATCCTGGTTTCAGTAATGAGTTTTTGATGATGACTTAATTGCTATGCTTCGTTTTCCGTGTTGAAAAGTAACTCTTTAAATTTAAGTAGTGAGCAACAATGCGAACTGTTGAAGTTAACTTGTTTAATGTTTCGATGCTTTTCATCTTACTGTCGTACACCTCATAGAGAGGTTTAAAAGCAATTATAACATAACCAAAGTAAAGCCGCGCTCTGATTGGTCAATTCAGCGTCCGCGTTCACCATTTGCCCATGGTGACGTGAGCAAATGCAAAGACCAGTTTTCTGCGCGCTTGTCTTTTCTGGTCACATAAGATTTGTTAAATGAAAGAAAACTCTTTTGGTACAATGTATCAATGTTATGTTATAAAAAATGGTAAACGCTACAGTGTACACCATTGAGTTATGGATACTTTTGGGAGGGTTGCTAAGCACTCAAGAAGCTAGAGTCACTCTCAGCTATCGCCTCGCGCGACTCCACGTATCACCTCCCTCGTGCATCCATAACTTGATAGTGTACGCTGTGGTGTTTATCATTCGTTTAACACTAAAGAAATGTAATTATAAGCCACATTAGCAGCTTTTACGTAGAGGGCCAACTAAAGGCAAAAGGTTGGACAGATTTACTAAAAGGAACAGGGGAAGTTGTGAAACATTTACTTGTTGTTAGGAACGGACAACACTTTTCAGTTATGTCCGTTTGATCGTTTTCTGTGTAGTTAAGTCTTCAAAGAGGTGTCAGAAACAGACACCGCTGGAGTGATAAAAATGTCTCAACTTTATTACCTATTTCCAGTCTGTAAGTCTGATCTTATACGTAATTGTTTCTTCGGGCGACATGACTAAAACAATTCGGACAAGATGACTTGGGCAGCTTGACCGGTTATCCATATCTAAGTTTGTATTCTCTTGATAAAAAATTAACGCCATGACCAATGAAAATAAGCTTGTCAACGAAAGGAAGTAAGGGACCGTTCATTTTTTACGAGGTAGGGGGGACTGATGGGATTTTTTAAACTTTCATTAAAAAGTAGCATGACCCCCCCCTCAGTCGTTTAATTTTTTCCATAACCCCCCTCCTAATACAGGTAAATATTTTTCGGTGTAAAACATATCCCATCTCAAGGCATTACTAAAATATTTTACGTGACCCCCTTTTTGCCTTATTTTTTAGATGGTCCCCCGTTTAAGGCCGTTTTTTTTGGTGACCCCCCCCCAAAATCTTATCAGTCCTCCCTACCTTGTGAAAAATGAACGGTCCCTAAGAGATCAGCTTGATGATCCTCAGTTGGAAAGCATATTCAGTTGAACGGCGGCGAATCGCAACTCGTTCCGGCAATAGGTAATCCAAATGAATGACACGTTGCTACATTTGAGCCATTTTTCTGTCGCACAAGTGTTCGTTGAAGCACACTTGGGGGCGGGAAGGTAACCCTTGTTCAAAATATGATCCAAATTTGAAAAACATTACCAGGAAGAGTGCGGAAGAGTCAAGTGTGAGAAATGAAAACACAGGCGGCCCAAGCGTGCTATGTGTGATTTGGGGTCTAAAGGTCATTAAAGGAAATACCTAACATATCAAATTGAATTTTAAGCGAAAGCGGGTGCCGTAAAAAAGAAAAAATTATAAAAACGGATGATAAAAGCGAGGAATATAACTTGTTAAGTCTCTTTACCTTTACTCCTTAGCCGCCTTGTCACTTGCGGTCGCTTTAATGCTACTTTGGCGACTTCAAGTTCTTTGTAACACGTGTTGTGCTACTGTATAACAATGTATACAAAGACATAAGCTATATATAGGGCCACCTGTGATTAAAAATACCGAAAAATTGACGGTCGGACGTTTGATTGAGTGGCAAATACTAATTAGACAAACTTCTCTTCATATTTCCTCAATCTAAATTGTATTTTATCGACTGAAACGACACTTGCATGGGGGGAATTGCATTTGAAGCATTTGAATTGCTTTGAAAGCATACGTGCTCAACCATTTCACTCTCTCTGTCAGCTGTTTTGTCCTTCAGTCTTGCAACAGATCATCAGGCCATTCACCAGAGAGAGCGGGTCTCCGATGGTAAACTCCGTTCTTTACCGCTTTCGTCAAGATTATAAAACGATAATAAAAAAATAAAATAAAAAAAAGGTTTATAACAAAGAGAAAACTCATTTTGGTTGTAGTGCATTTTAGTGATGAGGCAGAGCAGAATGAAATTTTTCAGCGACTGTTGTGAGGCAGGGTTTAGACTGAATGCCGCTCTTTCTTGTGCACTAAGGTCTTAATAGTTCCGATGTGGCTGTCGCTGCTTAACTTTAGTCCACGTAGCATACAAAAGAGTCCGTTAACAGTAAACTACTTGGCGGCTATCACTTGGAACAATATCTCTGATTCTTTGAGATCCGTAAGCACTTTGTCAACCTTTAAAAAAGCAGTCCGACAGCCAAGGTTGTAGCTAATTCTCTCTATATTCTTTCTAGTAATTATGTAGTAAATGTAGTAAGTAATTAAATTTATATATTTAGTAATTAAATTTAATTTAGTAATTGATCATTATCTGTTTAGTAATGAGGCTTTTTATTGCAAAATAGCCATGTCATGTTATTTTAGTATTTACTCTGTAAATAAGTTTTAAGGTTTGTTTTCTCGGCTTATTAACATACTTTCTTTGCTAGGGGTCTAAAACCAACCCTATCAACCCGAGATTAAATAAAGTTTCATTCATTTCATTCAACCGGTCCACTCAATTCGCACAAACTCGATCATTCTTAGAGGCCAGATTTTGTGCTCATAAACAGTGAGTGTAACTTTCTCGTTTTTCGAATCCGAAATTTACCGTTGTTTAAGTACCTAAGCAGGGAGGAAATTGTTTAGGCTCCACAACTGCAGTGGAGTGAGTTATTGAATATCATTAGATAGGTGTCTCTGGAATGTTCTGGCGTAGCCTTTAAAAAGCGAACCCACCGGGAAAGTGTGATGAAGACTTATATTAGAGCCACTTATCTTTGTCAGTGATATTTAAGTCAACTATATTTAGCTATGATATTCCTTATAGAAAAGAATTTTTTTTAAAGATTTCTTAAAAGCGAAAGACTAAATTGAACATTTCTAAAGCCAGGATCTTTTCATTGCCATCACCATTTTTGCCTTCCGCGTGCTACAGATATGATAATAATCCAGCAGAATCTGAAAATTAGCATAATAATAGCACGCATGATTACCACAAGGCAAGGACTTTCGTTAGTGGTTTATGAAGGAAGCACCTTTACATTTAGCAAGTTGTCTTCCAAAGCGGGTACTGCACCCATTTGACGTCACTGAGACTACGGTAAACGGATCAAAGTTCGCAACGCTTCATCGGCGAGGAACATATTCGCTCATGTTTCATAATTTGCCCGGCACGTGGGAAATCGTGAACGACGCGGCCTCCTTAACGAACGGTAACAACTCGCTTATTAAGAAGTAAGACGCGTTTTGCTAAACTTATTGATGCTAAACACCAGAAGTAAGTTTCACAAGATCCAAAGATCCTCCTCCCATAAATGAAAGTTTAGCCACCATAGCATGTCATCGTACCTTAGTTGTCACGATCCTCGAAGATCACTCGGCGGCGACACAAACAAGACGCAAGACGCGAGTAAATCTTCCTCGAACAGTTTTATCTCGATAGGTCATCTTCAACAGGCATATAAGGAGAACTCTGAATCAACAGAATGCAGGTTTGTGTTAGTGTAACTTTTTCTAAAGCGAATTTTCGTTGTTTTGAAAGGGCCCGGTTTTGTATCATGCACGGGGGTCAAGCCGCACAGAGGCTTCGCGCCCTAATCTGTCGCTCAACTTAACGAAAGAAAAGCATCTAACACATTGCAGGTTCTTTTACCCCATATTTGCAAAGGAAGGAGGTTTTTTAGAAGAGAGAGAATGCTTCCATTCTTATAATTGCAGAGAGAAAAGTATAAAAGTACTCATGCGGAACGTACTTATTTAAATTATAGTCTCGTCGAAACTCTTGGCACTCAAAGGTCAAATGACTGTGTCAAACGATGCGCCACGAATTGAGCGATGTTGTACCGCGGTCCAATTTCTCAAACCAAAGCTCATATTTGAGAAATACCTCATAACACCCAGTGACCACGTAATGTGGTACTGGAATGTAATAATTTTGCCCACCGTTTCCTGACGCCGATCCCGAACCTACGTTGTAGTGCAGTTTTTCTGTTGTCTTGAAAGCGTCCCTGGTTCTTGAATCAATTGCTGAAGAAGTCTTCACTTGTTAGAAATTTTGTTTCGAAATTCTTGTTTGCGGGTAATAGAGTCTTACTCTTATTTAAAATTACAAAGAAAATAACTTCAACTCGTGAAGTAAAGCACGTAATGTCGGTTTTCAATCAATAGCATGTAGAGCTTTATTCATTAAAATGGAGGCTTAATTAGTTAGTTGTTGTTTTATGCTTTACATTAAGTAGTAAGAAAGCTATTTTTCTTATACAAATGTGAAGCTCAGGTAAAGGCCGAGGCGGCCGGGGTCACATCGCACAACCCACGTTTCCGTTTAGACCACGTACTTTGAATTTCATGATAATGATATCATAAGACATCCAACTAGAGTCGCAGATAACACAATATACCTCATCAATATTAGGGGAAGAGCGAACGAAGCGCTTTCCAACAAAGATTCGTGATTTTGTTAACCGGCAAGTAACCTGTGACCCACAGGATCAACATGCTCACTTATTTATCCGACGTAATAAGTTTTCTTTATAGTCTCCGTCGGAAGTAACGCAGTGGCAGAACGGACAATTATTAGGGACTTTAAGCAAACCACGACGGCTACGGCAACGAGGACGTGGAAAAACAATAGCTCAGCACGTGCACGACAGAACAATAGCCCAACACGTGCGTTTTAAAACTTTGTACATTTCTTAGCCGTCCTTTGCAAAACACAACGTGAAATCACCCAAATTTGCGTCGTCTGCGAACCGAAACCGCGGCGGCAAATTATTTTAATTTACATTTGGAACTCAACGCTACTTTTATGCGTTATGTTGAGTTTGAGGTCTGGCGCCCAATGAGACGGCAAACACATGCAGCCATTTTCGAAATTCTAACTAAAAGTAGAAACTCATTTTTTAATCGACGTCTTCCGTGCCGTTGCCGTCCTGACTGCTTAAAGTCCCTAATCATACATCTCAAACGATGTGGTCTACATCTGATATGATGATAATCCTAAATTTAGACACATCGGTCACAAAAGTAGATAATTATGGTAAAACGATTATACCGTTGTCAACTATATACAGGGAATGGCTTATGCAGCCTTCATCGAGTTTCCGTGGAGATCAGCGCATGAAGGAAACGATTCGATCCCAAGTCGAGAAATTAAAAATTCTTTAAAATTCCATATTACCCACAAATAGATTAACAACTTCAAGGCGCAAATCGGATCCAGTGTTGTTAGGGTCGCAGAGCTGTTGGTAACGTTGCCACTAAAATTTACGGCACATAAAGATACGACCAACATCGGTATTTTTCCCTTTCACGTACGTTAGCCTGCAGAGCAGGCGTTCTAGTGGAGTTTGGGCGAAAGTTAGACCGCGCGAAAAATAGAGCGAGGCGAAGAAATAGGTGGTAGGGGGAGGGGGAGAGGAGAGAAAGGAACGCCTGCTAGCAGTACTTGAAAATTTGAAAACCACCCTCTTAAATTAGATATGCTGGAGTAACGATCATGGCGCAATCATGGCCAATCAGGTAGCGCGACGGAAGTGGAGTTTCACTTCCGTTGCAAACACACACACGTGAAAACTTTGCGCTTGTCAAAATTTCTCAAAAAGTTGATTGTTGACATGTCGCCGAACGAAAATTGTCGGTTTTGCGGCTGTAGTTTTAAAGTTAAATACGGCTCATACATATCATCAGAAAATTTATTCAGAGCATCGAAGAGAAGTGATGCTAATGGAGTAATTTTGACGTGTGTGCTCGAATTGGCATCAAATTTATTCAGCTCCGAGCGCTGCTGCAATCCTTGTGAAAGGAAAGTCAGAAACTTGGGAAAGCTACATGCATTCATCCTTAAGAACGCAAATGGCCGATACAAAACTCCAGAAAAGCCCAAAAGGGCAAAGAAGCGGCAATTAGATACGCCAAACAAATCTGCTAGCCCGGCATATGGAGTAAAAAGAAAGCCGCTCGTATACACTCGCCCAAACTACCAACACCGAAATCCAGAAAATCCCTGAATATGAGCGAGATTCTCAACCCAGTTTCATCGAAGACAAACAAACCGAGGAAAGATGACGATTTGGACACTTTTTTAAACGTAGATGATCTTCCAGAGGATGGATTAGAAGTTAAAGTCGTGACAAGAATGGCGAATGGCCAGGTAATAGTTAGAATTCCACATGAGGAAGAAACTAAAAAACTCGTGAAACACATCGCTTTTACAAACTGGAGAACTGCTGTGAGATGTCTTTTCCGACATGAAGAAATCTTACAAGAACTTAGAGAGATTCTTCAGGCATCAAAAGTAGCTAAAGAATAGTTCAACGCAAGATCTATCTCTTCTTCGCTGAACGCCATATTGGATGTGATCCGTGGCAATAGAGAGATTAAACACCAGGTATTTTTTTCCCGCGAACGGCAGAGAGGGTCACGTACGTGACCTGACATTTCCCGCATTTGCCGTTTGCCGGCCGCCGTTTCTACTCAAGGAGGACATTTTTCCCGTTTGTAGGGAACGCGAAAACGTGATTATTTGCAGCCCATTTTTACCGACTATTTCTACATTTTGATCGCTCGCTTTTATAGCTAAGCTTCGTTTATCATCTTACTTCTATATGAACTGCTTGTAAAGCTAATAGAGTTCAAATTCAAGCGGAAAATACATTACTTCTTTGTATCCATTATTTCTAGTCGCAGTGAATGGCGACCGAGAACATTTGTTCTGCCGTGTCGTCGGGAAGCTTGAACAGACGAACATCGCGGACGGAACGGCAAACGACAAACGGCTAGCCGACGTTCAGCGTTCGCCGTTTTCGCGGTACTTAATCTAACTAATGACAAACGTAAAATGACGTCACATCCTGATGTCAATAAAATATTCCTCTGGACCAATCAGAATTGCCCGTTCGTGAGCGAACGAGTTTTCCAAATTTTCAAGTACTGCTAGCAGGCGTTCCTTTCTCTCCTCTTCCCCTACCCCTCCCTCCTAATTTCTCGCCTCGCTCTATTTTTCGCGCAATCTAACTTTCGCCCAAACTCCACTAAAACGCCTGCTCTGCAGGCTAACGTACGTTAAATGTAACCATCAACATGTTATCGCACCTTTCAGTTCAGAGTATTAGAGTATGGATGTCGTACCAATTAGATCGCTATGATATTGTCCCGATACAGTTATCATCAAAACCATTGAACATATAAAGTCAAGAATGAAAGAGAAAAAAGAAGATAAATATTTAAACAGTCTCGCAAAGATTTAGGTCTTTGTTTCGCACGGGAGATATTCGAAGAAATCTTTTACTCATTTATAAGGCTCTGTCTGGAAACGCCATGTTTGTGTCCCTCTGAGGGGCACAAACATGGGGGCCGGAAGTTAACAAAAACATGTCATTGCATTTTGCTATGCAAAGCCTGTAGCCATATTCTGAGGGCTCATAAACATCTATATGAATACTTTACCTCGTGCAAGGACCGTTCAGATTGCAAAATCGGCTCCGCGGTCAGTCACTTTCTTCAACCTGCGTGACAGCATTCTCGGCCGTCATTTTAATATCGTGTCATGCAAAAGCATAGAAATTCAACCTTGCTTTAACACAAGACGAAAAACCTTATCAAACTGAAAATTTGTGAAAATATACTTGGTCAGCTGTTCTAAGGAAAAACTAAACTGAAATCTCACAAGGATTAGTTTTCCTTTTAATTTTGATGACGTCACGCGAAAACTAAGAATTCCGAGCTTTAGCTGTATCAAATTACAATTTCTGGTAAGCAACCCAGATTTAAAGACATAAATCCTACCCCACTAAAAAAATTCACAGGGAAAATAGTACTATTGCCAATCAACTTACCAAGCAATTCTTACATGCTCTGACATTTCTACCAATCGTATCTATTTATAGCTACCTTTGACTTAACTCCATCGCCTGTCAATGCCTTGTAAACAATCAACAATTTCACGCTCCGGGAACAAAGTCCAGATAGGCAACAGCCAAAAAAGGAATCCCCCCCTTATAAAAGCGTTTGAAGTATGATCCTTCCTCTTCGTTCAATGTGTTAAAGTGCCCCTGAGATAAAAAATTTTTGTACACCATTTTTTTCCATTTTCGTGTTCAGTGTGTCTCCTTCACCTACTCTGTCAAATTTCAGTTTAGACCGAGCCCCAGAAATATCTTTTTTCGGGCCGTTAAATTCACGATTTCGCGTTAGTTTGATCATGTTCCGGAAGTTGATCGCAGGACTCAGAAGAAGTGACGTCAAAGGCTTAACGCGAAAATCTCACATGGCAAAATGTCAAGCAAACATAACAGAGTGCTTTACTCTATTCTTACAAAAACTAAACAAAAATGACTGGGCATCGATGCGTAATTCAAGGCTGAAATAATCGTGCAGAGCATGCTGGAGGTATTTCTCTGCATCGGAGCCTTGCAAATAGATCAGAGCGGGAAAAACGGATGCGATTTGTGCGACCTCGCCGAGTAAATATTTGTGGTCTACTCCGAACACTTCTGGAAGGACTGTTTCGAGAGATCTGTGTACTTTGAAGGATCTAGGCGAAGAATTCTGTCGGGTTCGGTGCCTACCGTTCAAAAAGAGAAGGGACAAGAAAAACCGTCCTCAGTGCGATCTCGACGCCGGAAAGCGAAGTCTACGAACCTCCACGGATTTTGTCACCTTTACATATGAGCTGATCAATATCCACCTTAACAAGTCTCTGGCAGAGTACCTTACACAAAGGAAAGAACTCGGTTAACATTGTAAATAAGAATGATAAAATAGCCAAATTGAGGATTGAGATTTCTGACCTCAAAGAGCTCACTTTAATACAAAGAGATGAAAAATGTAATTGTGTGCTCTGATTCTAAAGAAAGTTGGCTTTAATATCAGCGAAAGCAGAACAAACAGCTCAAGACATAGAGCGTAAAAACACTTTAAAATGTAGGCTTGCAGCCAAAAAACCGAGAAAATGAAAATTTCTTTAAAAACCTGTCAAACTATCAACCGTCTGACAGCCAAGTCAGCGTGCTATCAAAGGGTCTCAAATTCATTCTAACGCCCGTGACAAACGAATTTAAAATCAGGCCAACTTTTGCGAGATTTATTCGCAAGACAAATGCGCCTCCGTTACACCTTTCACGGACAAAACAAAGAACCACTTCTGTTTCATATCAAACTGAATGCCACCGGTTCAGTCTTCTATCGCCCTTCAGAGCTACTTGGAAAATCGTCATAACGCTACTTGCAGACTGCATCTAAGCCAAAAAATACTTTGTAACGCAATGAGGTCACGGCTCTAAAAGAGTTGAAACAAACTCTGCTTTAAACCTCACCGAAGCAACACAACAATAGTCATCATGAATAAGACAGAAAAAACAAAAGAGGCCAAACTGCAACTCAACAACAGAGTTCACTTCAAACCTTTCAAAGCACCGACTTGGACGACTTTGAAGCGGTAAAAATTGGTCATCGATGGTTTTTTTTTAGTATTTAATGGCAGAAAGGGTTTTAACTTGACCCAGTTCAACATAATATTAAAAAAAATTTTCCCAAAATAAAATGGTCAATTTTCGTCTCAGGGGCACTTTAAGTCATTTATCAAACTGCATCTCACCTTTTTTCCCGCATAATGTCTGGGAAACTTGAAAAATTATAACAAGCAGCAAGCTAAGAACAGCGAGTGAGCTGGGCACGAATGAGAACACGTTTTGTACGTAACTCCCACACTCTTGACAATCGGCAGACTCACTAGGGAAAAAAAGCGATCATTTTATCTCTTTTTAAACAACATTTATTTTGCTTTCGTAATTCTCAGTCTTTTACATAGCCCTTGAGCAAAATTACTTTTTGTGATGAAAATTCCCCCTTCGTTTACTCTACACTTATCTTGAGTCACTTTCTTTGTTTCGCGAGAATATTCCATTAAATTCAAAGCTCTTGGAACGCATTTTATACGCCATGAAATGCTGGTAGAATATTTAGTTGGACGGGATTCAGCCAGGAGCCTGGTAAGGACGAAGGATTCAAATGAGGAGAGGAGAAGAAAAGACCAATAACAACAGCGCTGAATAACAAGAAGAGCAAAGAATAAAGAAAAGAACATGTATAGCGCCAAACAAAAAAANCTTTAAACAAGCGAAGTGAAATAATATCCAATTGTAGACATCGGCGAAAATATATTCTCAGGTATTCTTAACGCTATTATCGGCGCGCGCACGGTTTTCAAGATTTGAATTTTTTAAACAATGCCATGTGATCACGTTGCTGAGTTAGAGTTAACCGTCACGATGCCTCAGTGTGTATGGAGTTTAACTGATGAGTGGATCAACTTTTGTTGGTCTACGAAACAGGCTGTATTAAAATCCATATGTGCGTAACTTGAGTAGTCTATTTGCTTCTATAATCGCTCCTTCATTGTAGAGCACTGTCCTGGATCCTACGTTGCGTATTTCGCTTATATATATATATATATATATATATATATAAAATAAAACGGTCAATTTTCGTCTCAGGGGCACTTTAACTGTAGGTTATAAATCTTGGGTATATACAACTTCGAAAGGGGATTTCAGAGAGCTTATCAACAGAGAGGCTTATATACGAGGGGGCTTATAACTAGAGAAGAAAAAGCGCTTCGAAGCGAGCCGAAGCAGTGTTGATCAATTTAACGGTGGTCAATTTACCATTTCAACTTTGTTTATATATTGAAATTATTTCGTTACCCCCACCGACGCAGCCCCAAACAGTTTCTTTAGAAACTATCAGCCTTTGATCAAAATACGTTTTGCACTACTGATTCTTAATGAAGCTTCAAACGTCATGATAAATCGAATTCATTTTATGAAATCTGGAACAGAATTAAAACAAACAGCACGAACAAAACTGGGACATAATGGAAGGGATGTTGAGACTGTTCCCTTGAAGTTCGTCTTTGCTTCCCTATTATCAAAATTTTAACGTCTAATTCGTAGCAGAGTTCCTGCCTCTCAAACAAGAAAAGCTGGAGGAGGACTTAAAATCGAATGCATTTTTTTGTTTACAGGTCGACGGGCCCATAACCGGGGTACTAATACGCGGCAGTTAACAGAATTCGAATTACGCAGACCGGAAATAAAATAGACTTTTGGTTTGCTTTTCACGGTAAAGTCATGGGGAATGACATTTTCGAGGAAACTTATCGTTACTAAATAATTTTTTGTTTTGTCTCCGTCGAAGTAACGGCAGTGGCCGTGGTCTCTTTCGCAGCCGTTATTTTGTCTCGTCACGCAATGCACTCTGTCCCCTGCTTAGCTTGCAACCAATGCAGTTTAATTTTTGCATACGATTTTTTCAGACAACACAGACAATAGCCCACAAAAGACTTGCATGAGTTTATTTCAGATAAATTGGAACTGTTTTTTTTGCTTAAAACATCAGCTACACCTCATCCCAGCCACCCGAAAAAAATTCTCTCTTGCATGCGTAGCATGCCTATGTTTTCTTGCAGATAGGTAAGAAATGTAACCACAAACTCAACAGCTCTGACAACATAGAGTTTGAAGGCGGCCACAATTGTTCAATATACATGAAAGATTGGTAATTTTTAACATTGAAAGGAAAAGAGAAACCTATTAAAAAAACCCTAAAAGTCAAAATCCTTGGCCCACATAGAAAAGAAAGATCCCTGCCTTAAAGTTCCAAGGATGCAAGAGGAATTCGTAACGTTATTAACAATAATGGTCACCAGTCACTTCGCAGTAATTCGTAACTCAAATATTGTTGTAGTTGACATGTGAAAGGTCTGTGATATAACTGGGTTGTCCTGAATCACCGATTAATCAATAATCTCTAACAATATTTACAGCCTCTTGACATCTCTTTTTAGGTCTGACCCAATTTGGAACGAGGTGGCCAAGCGATATCAAGAGATTATTGAAAAAGAATACAAAATGTTGGGCCAGTATTATGACGATCAAATGGTTACCCAAAGTACCAATGGTACATCTAAGGTATTCGCTCGTGTGCTTTTAAATGGACATGACGGACTGCAATCGCAAGGGAAGGACCTGTCATGCAAGCAAACAGAGACGCGTGCGGAAACAGGAAATGGCACCACAGAGGTTTATGACTGCACCAGTAGTGTTATCAAAAAGACAAAGGATACGAAGGTCCTTCCTAAAATTTTGGATGTCTATAGTCTGAATTCCACCAAAATAAGTAATAAAACAACTGGCGTTGTCAGTTTTCGAGGATTTCGTCTAAATGAGGGGGACCGAGATGAGTTTTCGTTGGAACACGGTGAAACCGCTAAAAAGGTTGTTCAAAATCCTAATCTTTGTCTCCCTAGTTCAGGCAAGAAGTCTCCTTCGCCTCCCGATCAAATAATAGATCTTACCATTGACGACGACGAAGAAGAAGAAGAACAAACAGTTGTCGACAAAGGATCTGATAAGATTTATGAAAATATCTCGTGGACGAATTCCATTTCGGCTAACCAAAGTCAGCATGACGAGTCAAAGGAGAAAATTCAAACAGCTGATGAGGAGAAAGATATTGCAACTAAAACGGAATATAGCCAAAACAAGCGCAAAGGTGGAGGCAAATACAACAAGAAAAGAAAACGGAGATGTCCAGCAATATACCGTGACAGTTTGAACAAGTGCGATGCCGAAGGATGTAACAATGACAGAGATCTGTGCCACTGTAGTAACAATAGCGAAGTTGACATTCGCAGCGATGGTGATAAACAAAAATTATGGGACCAGAACAATATCAGCAGGTCGATTAAAGACGAAATAAGTCAAATTACAGAAGAAAGGGATCAAACTTTAATTAGCAGTGGTGTTGTCCATGGCGCGAGTGGTGTGTTGGACTTATCGTATCGTGCGAGCAAGATTACGACACTTAAAGCCAGACTAGCCAAGCAAGAAGAAGAGCTTGCTAGGCTTAGAAGTCAGAAGGAAAGATTACACTTCCAATCAAACCATAAAACCTTGGATGCACGTTGCGAATGGTTCTCAAGTCGGGCAGATTTATGTACAAAGGCAGATCTAGAACGAAAGGAACCTCAAGGCACTGATTTCAATATACAATCTCTCAACAATGGAGAGGAAGAAGGTGATTTTAAAATAGTGAGTGTAGATGACATATGTCAGCACGTATTAAAGTCATTTGATATTTTTAATGCTCGCCAGTTCATGAACAGGAAAAAAGAAAAGACGGAGCCGCATTCTCCCACTGATACTTGCGCGCTGAAGAAGGAGGATGGCAAAAGTATCTCCTTCCAAACGGATCAAGATAAATTTCTGTTGGAATGTGGTTTGAAAAGAAGATCTATAAACAGCAATTAGAATTTGATCTGTTCAAGGAAAGGACATGATATGGTTTTACGTGCACAGTTGCCCAGGATTTGCAAGTTTTGAACTTTGACCATACACATTGTCTGTCTCTGCAACATATCACACCTTAAGTATTATTTGCTTTTCATTATAGTGATTTTTCCTCTAAGAAGAAATTGTATTTTCCAAATAGCTAAATTTTCCTTATCGATTATTCGTCACTTATTTAAAGTCAAGGCTTTCACTATACAATGGGGAAGGAAGTAAATTTGTCATGCATATATTTTGTCGTGTAGTATTGCTCCCATTTTCAACTGTGAGCAAATCCTTGACAAACAAATTGACGTTTCTTATAAAGAGTGCTTAATCCATGTAACAGGTTTGACTTGTGTGAGTTGAAGTTTACTGGTTGTAGAACCTTGTTTCGGCTCACCACCTAGACAAATTTCTACTGGGTAGAGATTTCAAGGTAGATGTTTCTCGTCTAAAGCCCAAATAGTTCTGCCTTATGCATCTAAATTTAAAGAACATGTTCATGTTCAGTTAACGAATTCTAGGAAACTATAAACAATAAATCCGTGGCCGGCAAAGCGGTGACTTTAACTGCACTGACAAGTAGTGGCCCAATAGGACGATAGGACTCTATGAATCTTCTTCATCCAATTTCAAAATTTAATTCATACCTTAAAATTGAAATTCTAAGCAACATTACTGAAATACATCTGACAGAGTAGTGGTGTCAGCGGCTCGTGTTTTACCAACACGAGCCGCTGACACCGCAGTGGGTAGTAGACGATGAACCTCACTCTCCCTTCCCCCCCTCCACTTACACAAAATATTTATGACTCGCACCAACGTTTTACCTTCCTAGGACGGAAGTGACCAATTACTTTGCTAGTAAAAATGGAATGTAAATCGTATTTATGTTTGATTCCTTTAACTTGTGCCGGAAATGGACGATAAAGTTTGCAACCAAATGAAAAGTTATACAATCAGGCTTTCCTCCGTAAGCAGCTCAAAGCCTCTGACTTTAAAGACGAGAGAGTCTTAAGATAGTCTCTTAAGTTTAATGTTATGACACAACTGTCCTTATTGTCTCGGTCACATTCAGTAGTTGTATAGTAAATCACTTTACAATGCCATAGCAAGGGTAATATAAGGGGGGGGCACGCGACGCCAGAGGCGCGAGTCGCTTGGGGGGTCTGGAGGCATGCTCCCCCAGAAAATTTTGAAATCTAGAGGCTTGGAAATACTATTTACAGCGTTCTCCAAGAGCTTTATGTGATTTACGCATATCGCGAATTATTTACTTCGCACACTGTCTCAGCAAACCAATGCACATTGAGTAAAACACTTGCAATGTCAATTACAAAATAGAAATGAATAAACGCTGATAGTTTCTAAAGAAACTGTTTGGGGCTGCGTCGGTGGGGGTAACGAAATATTTTCGATATATCAACTAAGTTGAAATGGTAAATTGGCCACCGTATCGATTATAAAAGCTGACGTTTCAAGCGTTAGCCCTTTGTCGGAGCGAATAGAGGAATTGTGGGTTGTGTGTGCTTTTAAAGGCAGAAAATGGAGCTACTTTATTGGTGGGAACATGGCAACGAGAAAAACACGAAAAAATTAGTGGAATGAAAAGCGTTCGTTGATCCCTGTGGGATTTAGACTGCCGATTTGAAAGATGAACTTTTGTTCCAGAGTTTTATGGCTTTCCGTGCTACCTAAGTGCAAGGAAAGACCGCAGATTGCCATATGTTGCTTAGAATGATTAGGTAAATTAAAATGTCTAGCGACTGGTTTCGATGTGTCCTTGTCATTCCTTTCCACGTCTCGAAGGTGTTCTCGGAATCGGTCACCTAGTCGTCTGCCTGTTTCGCCGATGTATATCTTTTTGC